TCTACATATTAAAATTTCAATTTATCCAGTTTGAAAAGATTCCACTGCTTTATTACTTTAACAGTTTTGGCCGTGTTTCTGACGAAGGCCTGAGCTGTTTGGGCTGAGTTTCTGCAGAGTTGTAGGGCCCTGCATCCTGGAAGGGGGCAGGCGATTCGCTGCCTACAGTTTTGGGCCTGGTGGTACTGCTTACTGATTGGCTGTTGTAGGTGCTGACTCCTGATTGGCTGTTGTAGGTGCTGACTCCTGATTGGCTGTTGTAGGTGCTGCCTCCTGATTGGCTGTTGTAAGTGCTGACTCCTGATTGGCTGTTGTAGGTGCTGCCTCCTGATTGGCTGTTGTAGGTGCTGCCTCCTGATTGACTGTTGTAGGTACTGCCTCCTGATTGGCTGTTGTAGGTGCCCCGGGGTGCTAGCGACGGTGGTTGGTTGTAGTATGATGCAGGTTGGTTGTAGTACGGTGGCGAGAGTTGTTGGCTGTACCACTCCCCACCGCCGAGTGCTGTAACAGGGTTGTACTGAGGCTGTAGCTGTGGACAGGTAGGAAATGGTGGTGATGCCATGCCGGCTGTGGCACCCCCCCTGTTGGCAGATGGATCAGGACTGGTGCCCCCCCTGTTGGCATATCCTGGTGGAGTTGTGGCACCCCCCCTGTACATTGCTGCAGGAGGGGGGGTTGTTCCCCCTGTAGCCCCCCCAGCAGACCCCCCCTGAGTGGTACTGCTGAGCACCTGGTTGTTCCTGTTGCCCACCTGACAGTTGGTGAGAGGGGAGCCGTGGAAGTTGTAGGTGTAGAAGTAAGACTTGTTGTTGACCAGCGGATACCGGCTCTGGGTTTCCGCATCAGGATTCGCCGTGCCTGCAGAAGACAGAAGTCAAGAACGGTTACACCTTGCTTTGTCCTAGGCATGTTACTTAGAACTTATAGCTGCAACAACCTTACAATTATGGATATCCATGATGTGAAGTAAAACAAAACATGATACCCACCTACTGGATAGACAAGTGCGCGGGGGACAGGTTTTTCACAGGCTTCACAGTACGCAGTCTGGCCTTGGTCACTGCAAACAGAAACACAGAATGTCAACGAAGGTTGTAATACACAATCACTCACACTCACTCACTATCCGTGTGAAATGTAAAATACACTGACAATATATCAAGAGAATGGATTAAAATTCTCTTAGTGAGAAGTCAGGCATTTCAGATCCAACTTCATTTGATCCGTCATGCTCAATCACAGGTATAAAAGATTGTAGCAGCAGCTTATCTAAAATGTCTGTCTTCAGATATAGAGCCTATCCATTCCCTTGATCTATAATTTGCATGACAAAAATTCAGATAACGTCTCAAATATTGTATTGCAGTGTTGCTTTTCGCCCAATCTTCTTTCAATAAATGTGAATAATTAATAATAAAAACAGATTTACATAATGTCTCACAGGCACTGGACAGAGAAAATGCAGCTGCTTTAAGGCATTGTATTCCAGTTTGAATGAATTCCCTTCATACTCCTGTCCATGATGTTGTTATGATTAAAATGTGCACAAACCTCTCGAGGTTGACTGGAAGGGGAACTTCGAACATCTCGGCATCGCCTGGCTCGCAGTCAGGGCAGAGGGAGAACATGTCGATGTTTACGCCTGGCCACAAACTCAGGAGCGACTGGGCCACACCCAGCACACGTAACACAGGGTCCCACAACATCTCACGGCAGCTCTCAGGGTCTGTGTGGTAATAAACAAACAAATAAACAAACAAACAAACAACACCCAGCACACGTAACACAGGGTCCCATAGACAAAACAAATTAAAATGATGAATACCAGCAATTTATGCTTGCACCAGAATCTGATGATGATGAAGACAAAGTGCATCTGCAGAAAATTACTCTGAAACTTGTTTCCTGCAGCAAACTTCAGCACTAGCCTCCGCCAGGCCTTTCTACGGGAATACGGATTGTAGAATTCGAAAGAAAAGAGAGTAAAATTGGCCAAGGGAGTCCGGCCGCGGGAGGTTGGTGCTTTCCCTCCGAAGCCTGTCAAACCTACAAGGCGGCCAAACTAACCCGGCAAATATTCTCCTATATATAGCCAGCGTAGTTAGTCTGGTAGAGACTAATACCAGCACGATGATGATACCACAGCAATTTCTGACATACCGGACTTGTTGCCCCTGGCAACCATCTCGATGGTGGGGTCATTCCAGATGCCCTGCAGGTCGTTGACCGTGCTGTCGCCGTGCTGACCTCGGTGTTTCCTGATGACGCTGCTGACGTTGTTCTGGGCGAGTTTCGCAGAGTTCCTCCACAGCCGCAGCCCCGGACTCAGCTGGTGCAGACACACGCACAGACGCTCGAAAAACCCGTACGGGACCTCCGGGAAAAACGTCAGGCCAACCCTGACAAAAACAAACAAATACATGGTTTTTAACATTGTTCCAATGTATATATTGTATTATTGATTGTTCGATATTGTATTATGTGTATTATAATTGTAATGTATTATTGTAATGTTTGGGAGGACAACTAGCAAAGGTGTATATTCACCTGTTTTGTCCTCCCATCCAGTTGTCTGGAAAATTCTAATAAATAAATAAATAAGTAAATAAACAAATTGACAGCTGGTGAATTTCCTTAAACAGGTCACATTCCTGTATGTTTTCTGCCGATGCAGTCCTGTATTGTGCTTAAAGTTAACTTTGTGTGATGGAAACTGTACCTGATCTGCTCCTGTTCAGGCGGGCAAGGGTCGAACCATTCCTCTGCGGGGAGGGAGTCGTGCAGGTAGCAGGGGAACAGATACAGGGTGCTTCTCCTCAGCTGGTCTGGGGTCGGTTGGGCCTGAGAGAAGGAACAAGACATTGGCTTAATTATGCACAATTCTGCACAGTTCAGTTTGTACACTGTAAACCCACAAACAAGTAAACCACTAGCTCACTCAATTACAGACTCATACAGATGTATTCGAATATCGGAGAGTACCTTGTTGCCGGGCGGAGTCCATGGCGACCCGGGATGGAACTCGGTAGCGTCTGGGTTCAGCGCGTCCGGTTCAGCTGGCGTGTGGGTGAAGCACAACTGGAACTGTGGTGGGAGACACACATTCTGAACTCTGGTGGGAGACACATTCTGAACTCTGGTGGGAGACACATTCTGAACTCTGGTGGGAGACACATTCTGAACTCTGGTGGGAGACACATTCTCATACTTACTCAAGACTATTTCAGACTTTTTAAGTGAGCACTCTTAAAAAAATTATACGAACTGAGGTATGTAGTTGGAGGTCAGACTCTTGCTAAAGTAATTTTTGTAGTTAGAGATCGGACTCTTGCCCCACCTGTTCAAGGACATCCACCAGAAGCTTCTCATCTTCTTCAACGTTTAGCATCTCGTTGAGTTTCGCTTTCTTCCACAGGATACTCAAGATTCTGTGGTCCAGAAGGGCTTTCCTCGTGAACTTCTTCAGCTGCACCTGAAGGCAGAGTTGAAACAACAAAACATTAAAGCAGCAGCAGCTGTCATGTTGACTCTTGATGAAGAGCTTTAAGTTTGTTCTGTCATGAACTTGTGGAGAAACATGTGATAAACTGAAACTGCAAATCACAATCAGGAATCTTCGGAAAGCTTATTCGTAACTGTTTACAGTAACATATTTTGTGCGACACGTCCATTTTTCTTCCCTATGACACATTAGGAATGTTTAATCTTTATGTATGGTAATTTGATGAAGATTAAACATTCCTAATGTGTCATAGTGCCATAATGTATGATAATTTGATACACGTATCTCTGCTCAATGACTGTTCATTGTCAACATCTACCTTAAACTTCGCTGCAGTCATCCCTTCATCCCCCATCTGGTCCTTCGTGATGCTGGACAGCTCCTCCTGGAGTCTGTCTCGAATCACCACCTGCAAAAGTGTAGAGCAACTCTTCTTACTGACATGTAGGACTAAACCTAAAGAGATATCTCTATAATATCAGTTGCGACAATGAATTAAATGGCATTGCATATCATTCAAGCCTTAGTATATATTGTACAATGTTGCAGTATGAAACTTTTGATTAAGTTACATAAAGAAGTAGGCAGCATGTCAATGTTGATAGCCACTATGATAATCATAGTTGCCAGGAAAGACATTAATCTTTAGCATAAATTTCAGCTGTGACACTAAATTTAGATGTCTATCATTCAAGCCTTACAAAAAATAGTCATAATATATTATACAATATTGCAGAATAAGACTTCATGATATGATTCTCTACAACTTGGTTCTTGTAGTCTTCGTTCCCATAAAATTGTTTATAGACAATGATGATTATCTATCATAGTTGCCACTTCTGATTTGCATTTTCCTGAATGAAAATTTTAAAGTCTTAAAAGCAACAGTTGTTATTAATGCTTTACATACCTTGAAGACAGACACGAGAGCTGCAGGATCCTTGAAGACGTAAGTCTTGAGACAGTCGATCTCACTGTACCAGATGAGCAGCCCAAGGCCGTGCAGGTACCCCAGGATGACCTTGGCCTCCTCAGAGGTTGTGACCTTTGTACCATGCAGGATTTCCTCCACAGCATCGTCAATGGAGATCACACCAGGTCCTGCAGAGGGCAGTGGGAAAAGGTAAGGCCACTCCAATTTAATTATTTGATTCTCGGATTTGCCTGCTTCATTTTTTGCTGATTTTGCCGAAAAAAGGGATGTAGGTTCTGAGTCAACTCAAAAATGCTCATATTTTGGTATAAGAAAGCTCCTTGCCTTCCTAGTTGTTTCAGGGTATCCATCTATCAATATTTGTTTGATAAAAGGTTAAAATTCATTGTCTGAATTACAAAGTTACTAGCCTGGTACATTGTACATGTATGTTGACCTCATGGCACCTACATGTATCGGCATGTATCGGGCTATCAGAGGATGCCTATAGGTCTGTTTTTATTTTGCCCTCAGGCTGTTGCTTTATATTTTTTCTGAAAGAATCTGAGAACCAACAAATCAAATTGGTGTGGCCTTAACAGTGGGCTGTTAGATCACTGCGTCTAGGGCAGAGGTATTGGAAGGCAGACCCCATCTCTCGTCTTTTACCTCCCCAACCGAAGTCAGGTACCAAATTCAGCACCAAGGACAGGGCCCTTTAGGTAAAGGTTATCCTGTAGCCTTTTTCAGGCCATAGGGGCAGTGGGTTGCTATACACTGTACACGGTATAGGAAGGCAGAGCGCATCCCTCTCCTTCCACTGCCTTTTACCTCCCCAACCGAAGTCAGGTACCCATTTTACACCCGGGTGGAGTGAGGAAAGTCTATTATGTAAAGAGCCTTTCCTTTCACAACATCTAGCCAGGAGTGCAAAGAATTGAACCTGTCTCCTCACAGTCACCTCATGGCACTCAGCTACTCAACACCAATATGAAATACAATCATGTACATTTATGTAGTGCAATAATGAAGTACAATGTGCACACCATTTTCCTTTTCAGCCGGCTTCATGAGATCCTCCACTTGTCTCCAGGTCGCTGGGATCTTGCGCCGAGCCTGGCGGGAAACAAACCAGTCAGAAATGAGCGTCCACACTGCAGTCTCACTAGACCTCAACTCTATTCTTTATTTACCAACATGCAAACATTAACAATCTCACACAGTAGCCTGAATGGTGTTATGTACAATGTGTACATTATATTACGTAAGAAAAACACTGCTCGCCAGTTCCCAATTTTACAGGGTAATGTGTGTATTTATTTGTTATACCTCTTAACTCTTGTTCTGAAATATCTTTTTTATGTATCCAGAGACACCTAAAAATCAGTGAGTTAACCTTCTCCCTGCTGCCTGACAATAAGTAATAGGGAATGGCTGGCCGAATGGTTACATCAGTGTGCTGAAGGGTAGAAAGCTAACCTGTTGGAGGTGCTTCTGTGCGAGTTCGGCCACCGTCCGCCTGAAGTCGGTAAATCCTTCCAGTCCCTTCGAGCTGAGGGCAATTCCTTCCTGTACCTGGAGAGAAAGTTACTTTTTTAGCCCTAAAATTTAAGAAAAAGCCTTTCAATTTAAAATTTCCTTTACTGATTCAACAAAAGTGAATCAGAAACCATGCATCCATTCCTAGACATGTACTGCATTAGCAGTGGAGACTGGATGATGTGTAGGAAGATCATCACAATGGATATGGAAGGCCAAAACCCACAAGGGTGTCCATTAAAGAGTTGGATGGACAACAAAAGGGAGGACTTCCTCTACCTAAACCTTCATAACATCAACCCACAGTACAGAGGCAAATGGCGGGCTGCCATCAAGCCTCAGCATTGTAAAGTGTTGAACTTTTTTCAAGCACAAGGGTTACACAGAGATAAAATTTTCAACGACCGCTGTCGCCTTCATCAGGATAAACACAGATGAACTTTCATGATGAGCCTCAGCATCAGAGTGCAAGCACGTCTAACCCTGGGAAGTCGGGGAACAACAGACACTAAACCAGAAAGTGAGTGAGTGAGAGTGAGACTGACTTGGAGTTGGAGTCCCTGTTTCTCCTCCAGGTTAGTCAGCAGGTGCATCAGCACACCTGTGTCCGTCCCGCCCGAGGGCTGGTCCAGCCTCCTCTTCAGCTGGGCTATGTGTCGCTTAACCGTCTTCAACCTGGGCAGGCCAGCAGAACACAGGTTTATTTATTTGTTTATTTATTGTTTATTTATTTATCTATTTTGTTTATTGACCAAAAAACAGGTTTTTTAAACTCAAGATTTTAGCACAGATTGACATAACAGGTGACTGTCACCTCTTCAAGATGACAACCCCGAGACCAGACTGTGAGGTTTGAACCACTCACACCGGGAAGGTCCCCTGCCCTTTGCGATAAGTGTGGTGGGTTCTTTAACGTGCGTGGGGTGTGGCTCTCCCCACAAAATAATTTGACTTCCTTCACTGAACGTACCTCTGCTCTTGCTCCTTCTTAATCTTGTGAAAGATCTCATCCAGCTTCTCTTGAGCATCTTCAGGAGTTATCTTGTCCAGATGTGTCCCAACCGGGAGGACGGTGGCATCGGGAACCCTCATCGCGATGTTGTCGATCCACACCCCGACTTCCCGTCTGTACGAGTCTTCATCATTCAGCCTGCAAAAATAAATATGTAGTTAACTCACCTGACCTGTATATCACCTACAAACACCTGACTATACACCTATCACCTGTACACATTTATCACCAGTACACACCTGTCTATCTACTACAGCACCTGTACACACCTGTCCATACATGTCTATCACCTGTACTCACCTGTATCTTTCCAGGTTGACCACCAGCAGCACCAGAGCATCCTTGGTGATGAAGACAGGGTGAGTGACCAGGTAGTCCTGCTGTCCTGCGAAGTCCCACGTCAGGAAGGTGACGTCCCCCTCCGTGATGTCATGCCTGTCAATGCCGTGGGTTCGGTTCTGGATGTCCACTAAGTAAGGCTGTCCTGTCTTCAGGGACATGCAGAGGCTGGTCTTTCCTGCACCTGCACAAGTCAGGCAGTAGTAGGATTTAGGCTCAGCTAACAGTAACAGTCTTTATATTAATTAGTTTACAACAAAGGCATTTTACTTAACCTTCAGGACTTTCCCAACAATAGGACCCAGGGAAAACCTCCCAAAGACCGGGTTGTGAAAGAAACAGCAGAGTCCGGGGCCCTGGACTGTGCCACATGGAGAAACCTATCGGAGTGGAGCAAGGGGTCAGCAGGCATAGACAAGAGACATTATTAGTATGTTTAGTCTGAGGACTTCCGATAGACATGTTCAACTGATATGGGTATACTGCATTCTGAAAGTCCTGTCTCACAGATAACTCACCTGTATCTCCCAGCAGCATGAGCTTGATACGCAAGTCCTCGATCACATCTTCTGTCTTCAGGGACTGGCAGTACTGTTTGATCGCTGCAACACCTGAGAGAAGATGGTTGGAACAACGTGACATTAATTCTTTGTAGGCCATAAAAGAAGATAATGTACATAAGCCAAAAAGTCCAACATAATTGTTATTTGGGAACATGAACACCACGTGAACCTACATGACATCAACCCTCAGGATACTGAGACAAGTGGCGGGCTGCCATCAAGCCTCAGCACCAGTGTGCAAGCATGTCTAACCCTTGGAAGCCGGGGAACAACAGACGACAAACCGGATAGTGAGTGAGAGAGTGAGTGAAATGAAAAGACAGAAAAAGTACCTTGGATGCAGACTTCCTGAGGAGGCTCCGACAAGGGGTTGTCCTCTGCCTGGAAGAGTTCCAGTGGTTTGTCAAAAAACTCCAGGGGAACCTCGGTGATCTTGTTGGCTGAGATACAGACTTGCCTGATGCTGGGCAGCTGCAGGAGTTGTGGAGGGAAGGAGGAGAACTTGTTACTGGAGATCTTCAGATACTCCAGATTCTCCAGCTGTGCCAGGTCCTCAGGCAGAGACTTCAGCTTGTTGGAGCCGATCCGAAGGTTCTTCAGCTTCGGGAGACGCGGAAACACACCTGAAGGAACGCAAAAAACAACAACAGTTAATCAGTTACTGGATATGATTTTGGAAACGGTCAGATGTTTCAGGTAGTACCTTTCGTTAGTGACACTGGAGAGTTTTCAGAAAAGGTTTATATTTATTTATTCATTGAAATGTATTTGTTTATATGCAAATAAGTAAAGACAAATTTTGAAAGTCCAAAAGGAAACAAAAGTTATACTTATCTAGACAAGGATAATGCAAATTAGTCAAGAAGCTCCAGTTGTTTCAGAACAGGAGCCGAAAGAACTGGCACTTGGGACTTGGCGCTCAAGTTAAATGCTGTCTGTCCTTGGGGCTGGGAGCGCCAAGTTCCAAGTGCCATCTTCTGGAAGATGCAGAAACACACCTGAAGGAATCTCCTCCACCTGGTTCACCGAGAACCGAAGAACCTCAAGGTCATGGAATTCCTTAATCTCATCCGGAAACTTCCTGAAGTCGTTGTTTCCAAGATCCAGATTCTTGATCTTCTTCAGCTGGGTGAACTCTGGTGTGAGTTTTCTCAGTTTGTTCCGATCCAGTTTGACATCAGTAACCTGCAGGTGAAAGAAATAAAAATGAAATGAACTTGAAGTCTTGTTCAACTGTAATTTATACTACTATAGAAGCCTCCTTCGCAGTCTTGTTGGGCGTCGGCATTATTTTTTTCTGTATTAAAGCGACGCGAGTAATATGCTGCCGCGAGGGACAATTTGCTGCGGAGGGAGTTTTTGCTGCGGAGAGAAGGATTCGCGCTCCAACAACGAAAGCATGAATCCGAAAGCAAAATAACTATACATTAAAAAGAGGGTACATGTTAGACAACTTAACATACAAATACAAGTATGTACAAGTTGTATTTGTACAAACAAAAAATGTACAAGTTTTGAAACTCAACTCGCCGCTGCATGATTTGAAGAGATCTGGAATAAACCCACCTGTGAGAAGATGCTGATGCCAGCAGGTATCTTCTTCATCCTGTTGACGGACAGGTGCAGCTGAGACACCTTCTCGGTCCTCGAGTCGCTCCTTAAGAAGTCTGGGAAGCAGGGCGGGTCCTTACTCTTCATGGTCAGGCTGTAGGTTCCGTCGGTCAGAGGCTTCCACTCAAAACTGCAGTCTGGAAACTCCAGCTTCTCCACTGAGTTCATGTCATCCCTGTAGAACTCAGCATCTCTCCAGTAGGCCTGCCCATTCTGGAACAGTTTCTCCTTCATCTTAACCAGTTTCTTGTTTGCCATCACCTTCTAGACTTTTCTCTGGACCTGGAACAAATTTTAACAAATGTATATTAAAACTAGCCTGAAGGTTAAACATTTGCAAAGCAAACGTATAATGTTTACCTTCGCATATGGTCTGCTCTTAAACATTCATATATATGGTCAGACCTCCTTCTATAAAATTGCAACATGATGTAACCCAACACTAGTTACCATGGTGACAGATTTCTGGTTTGGGTTATTGACCTTTTATTTTGTTTGGAGAAGAAGAGAAAGAAGAAACAGAGCAAAAGCAAAATGTTTTCCTTCTGCGAAGGTAAACCTAACTGTTACAGAAAAATTAGATGATCCTCGGTCAAGTTACTTAGCATTTCTTTTGTCCTGGTTTCGTTCTACAAACAAAAATTGTGTTTGCCACATGAAAGGTGAAAGTTCACCATGTTGTCAGCGTGAAGAAATCTTTCTAGTGATTATAAAACATGGAGGCTCATCTGATGTATGGGAATAAAAATAATCACTCCCAGCTAACTGCCTGTAGCAGTCTTGTAGGCTTTTTAGTCCCAGTTTTAATCCCAGAACCGTGCCCTTGTGAGCACTAAAAAATGCGGAACTAACACCTTCCTGTACTTAACTAGTATATCATCATAAGATTAAGAATCGACATGTCACTATAAAGTATAGCATCATGGTGTGTGTTGCAAATAATCCTACCTAGACCACACAATTGAGGCAGTTAAGTATCTTCCCACCTTCTCTTTAACGCCAAAGAAGCGAAGTTTTTTACCTTGTCAGAAGTGATGACGTCACCCAGGTAAGCCTCCCCGCGGACGGACTCCCTTGGACAATTTTACTCTTTTTTTGCCGAATTCTACGATCCGTATTCCCGTAGAAAGGCGAAGAAAGGCCTGGTGGAGGCTAGGCAAAAGTCTCAAACGTCTCACGGAGCTTGTGGAGAAGAAAATACCGCACTAAGGGTACCGAAGTCGGAAGTAACGTCCTCACTGGCCGCCCAGTGCAGAACTCGCGGGGAAAGTGGCGTCGGCACTCGGGGCCCTGAGCGGAAGGAAACTCCGCACAGGGATTCTATAGTGCTGAACGGCTTTCCAGTGCTGAAGCTTCGTCTCAGAACTGGAAATCCCGAGCTGAATCTTGTCTATAAGCACTCATTCTTCAGTGCTAAACGGCGGAGAAGCGGAGAAAAGGAGAGAAAACGGATTCAGGAACAGCCGACACCTGTAAACTTCCAGGTTCCAGACTGTTCTGAGCTGTACCGAAACTGTGGGGAATCCCCGAAACGTCATCCGGGTTTGGAAACCAGTGGAGAGTCCCGGCTGGGCTACTGGACTTCTCCCAGGGGGTCTCAGCGTTTTCTTACATGAAACAATTTTTCTTGAAAAGTTAAGATTTTATTCAATATCAACAATGATATCAATATTATAAAGTACCTTTTTTTTTATTCTGAAAAACATTGAGTTAATACTTTGAGCCCATATGATATAGTGTATAACTTGAACTTGCCAGGGTCTGAGTTGATAAACCCATGATTATATGATGGGCAGTTCTCCCAAAAGGCTCCAATTCTGGATCATAATTTTCTGCTGAACATAGAGATTTTCCAAGCAAATCATAGAAAGAGAAATTCATTAAAAAGCTGTATTTCTTGCTTCCCCGTGAAGGCAGCAATAGTGAACTAGTCCGACTTCCGGTGCTGGGGTGACCCGGATGTATTCCGACAGAGGGCGTGACCTCTGCAGACCGGCTGAGACACGAAGTCGTCTTCTGCTGAGGAAAATCATGTCTTAAAGACGCTTCCAGACGTCGGCACAACTTCTGACAAGACACAGAGATCCGAGAGGCTCACAGGAAGGCAGAAAAGGCAGGAAAACAGCAGAATTATCCAAGGTAGGGACAATTTTACGTCAGACTTTGGTTGCAGACGACATAATTTTTTGGTACACTGTATTTCCTGCTGTTGTCACGAATGTTTGACATAATATTTTGTGAAAGATTCCGTTTTCTGAGGATAAAAAATCAGCACCAAACGATGGTCAGGTCTTTCAGCGTAACTTATTCTAGGAGTTTTGTGTGTTGACAAGGAATTTTCGCTGTGTTTGTTGACGATTTTGCACAGCGCGCACGCACACGACCTGTGATATCACACTTTGGTCACCCTGGTTTATAAATGACCCATATCTGTGTTACTAAGCTGCCGTGTTACGTTACCTGAGTACGGCCCATGTTTTTTCTGCAAAGTCTTGATTTGGTACAAGTTGTTACAAAGTGGACGCTTACTGCTTACTACATGCTATGAGAGTGATCTTGGATTTGTACAGGAAATTATAAACACGTTATTTCCTGCTTGGGGGGGGGGCGTTTGGTGGATGGAGCTAGAACATAACACAATGCTACCTACAAGCTCTTAAGTCCACTTAATTTCGCAGGGGCATGGAAAGGCAGTTTTCATAGTGTAACCAATTCAATGGTGGCTGTAGATAGTAATGTAACAGAATTGTAGTACTGACTTTAACAGATCCCCATTAATTAATTAGACAGCAAGTTCCATGAGCCAGTGATGTTCCTATGAATCTGGCCAACTGCACCACCAGGTCGGTCATCAGGCCAGAGAAATTTAATAACGTTATGTTACTGTAATGAGGATGTACTTCTTTATAAAGGGGTGAAGTCTAATGTTATTGTAATATACTAGTAATGAGGATGTACAGGGGTGAAGTCTGCCATCTCTGTTTTGTTTTGAAGTTAGAAGTAGTGAGAATCAGAGAGACAGTCATTTTTCTCACACCAACAAATTTTATTCCAACCAACCAGTTTCTACAACAGAAAAGTGTACAATACACCGAGGAAGGATAACTATATTATGTAGATCTTAATTGATAGCTTAAACATTCTTGTAATATATTCATGATCATTGTATTGTGCTAACCAAGGTTATTATATTCCTTGTGCTAACTACTGACAAAACCAAACTTTTAATGCCAGGTTCTAGATTAGTATCTATGACATCCATATTGTCTTTGCTATCTATCTATCTGCTTATCTATGTATCTACTAGCTATAGACTTGACTTGATTTCTCTCTATATTATGTATAGTCTATATACGTACATGTAGAATTGCAAGCACAGACTATTAATATGAAATATGAATGTAAATATTGCCTAGCTTGCAGCAAGGTACAAAAATGTAGTTCATGCATGTATCACCAGTCTTGCTTAATATTGTGTAACTTTTTTGTAATTGATCTATACTCTGAGTAATAGCTGAATGTACAAAGCCAAGTCAGATAGTTTTCTTCTTCCAGTAGTATCATAAAATACACCGATTTCCATCACAATACATGTGAGAGGAGGTACTACATGCGCACAATAGCCATTTCTACTGCATGTTAGCTGTAACTTTTCTTTATAATAATAACCCAAAAGAGATTAAATATTCATATCTGTCACTATAGTAATACACAAATGTAGCTTTACTCAATCCACCTTTTAGTAAACACTTTTTAAAAATTAGTGCTCCTTGGTGCCAAGTCTATTCTTTTTTCTAAGTTTGTCAATAATATAAGTCTGGGGCTTGTGGGTACCTACTACATGTAAGTAGTAAGGCCTTAGGAAAAAAGTGTTGTGTTTCCTGTTTCCCGACTGACCCTGGAAAATCCTGCTGACCCTAGACTTCTTTGGGTAGATCCCAGCAAGGAATATAATTAATTTTTCGAGCTGATCAACCTTTTCTAGCTCCATGATCTGACACCTGAGTTATAAAACGTTGTACAATCGGTTTTCTAACATTGATATTGAAGATAAAAGTGTCCTACAAGTTTTACTTTGTTAAACCATATAACTTAGTATAAGTTGGATCCCTTATAAGTTATATAGATATCACTGAGGTCTAAAGAAAAGGTAATCACGTAACCTACTGGTCCAAATTTTTTAAGGACTGAAACAGGAAACTCAACATTTTTTGCCTAGGCCTTAAAGTACTCTTTATTTGACAGGACACTGCAGCCCTTTTAGGCTCACATCAGCAGAAATTTGAGCAGTAATGCAACTGATAACAGAAACATTGGGGCATGGAAGGTGCTAGCAGTGCTTGCATCAGTATCTGTACAGATGAAGGTACCAGACTTGATATCTTTCAGCCTCAGTGGTCCTGTCTTAATGTTACGACCTTTACATTGGAGCTTAGTGGGCAGATTTGCAAATGCACCCGGTTCAATGAAAGTTATCCGGTTGGAGCGTACATTCAACTGTTGGAGTTGGGTTAAATTTGCAAATGCACCAGGATTGATGTAAGTGATATTATTGCTCGTGAGGAACAGATTTTGGAGCTGGAGCAGATTTGCAAATGCAGCAGGATTAATGAAGCTGATCTCATTTTCAGACAGGGTCAGATTTTGAAGTTGTGGCAGATCTGCGAATACTTCAGTTTCGATATAAGTAATCTCATTGACTGACAGGATAAGACTTTTGACCTGGGGCAGATTTGCAAATGCACCAGAATTTATGTAACTGATCTTGTTCATGGTGAGGATCATATTTTGGAGCTGGGTCAGATTTGAGAATGCATCCGACTCGATGTAGGTAATCTCATTGCTGGACAGGATCAGATTTTGGAGCTGGGTTATATTTGAGAAAGCACCATTGTTAATGTAATCAATTTCATTGTTGGACAGGGTCAGAGTTTGGAGCTGGGGATTTGTGAATGCACCAGAATAGATGTAACTAATTTCATTGCTGGACAGGGTCAGAGTTTGGAGCTGGGGAAGATTTGAGAATACATTAGCTCTGATTTCAATGATCTCGTTGCCTGATAGGGTCAGATTTTGGATCTGGGGTATACGTGCAGCAGCACGTAGATTTGCACGTACAGGTACACTAGCCAAGATGAAACTGATCCTGTTGTTGGTCAGCATGAGAGTTTGAAGCTGGGGCAGGTTTGAGACTGCACCAGACGTGAACCTGATGATGTTGTTGGAGGCCAGAGTTAAATGCTGGAGCTGGGGTAGATTTGGGAATGAATCTATAGTTGAGATTTCACTATTTTGCAAAGTTAAGATAGTGGTGTTTGTAGGTAGGTTCCCTGGGACTGTGGTAACCCCGGAACAGACACAAGTTGTATCTGTGCAGTCGCAGGCGGCCTCGGTCTGCCCAGCTGCCACCAGGACCAGCAACACCAGAACTCCGCTCAGACGGGCCCACATTTTAGCTGGAATAGAGACAGAACAATGGCTGTTTGAAACTGATGTACCAAATCATGAGATTGTAAATGATTTGAAAAGAGTACAGTCGGTTTGTATACATTAGTCGTATTCATGAAAAACTGGAAGATGAAAACCAGTACAAGTATTTAGTAGTTTAGCAAAATACAAGGCAGATCTAAATGTCAACACTACAACTGTAATAATAATGTCGCAATTCATACCAAAGATGTTGTTTTTACTTTTGACTCTAGGCGTACCATTCTACCAACAACTGAAATAAGGATAAAGACTTATGGACAGTTCTGTGGTGTAACAATTACTAAGCTAAGTAAAGACTGTGTGAAAGTTGAAGGGATTTGAACCAACCTCAGCTGAGACCCTTCAGGCCAAGATTCTGTCCAGTAGACTGCACACACAATTGTCACAGGGTAACCTGATGGGACTAAGGGATGCCTGTAAAAATGCACACAGGGGCTATTTGTCTCAGTGTGGCAGAAAATTCTGGGATGTTAGTTTGAAGACTTGGTTTGTAACATCCTGACAAGAACTTTATTGAACTGTAACGATAGAAACAATTGGTGTATTGGTTCTTAGAAACAATACTGAACTAATTGCACCTGTGCAGAACCTGCACAGCCCAGGTGGTTTTACCTGTGTAAGCCAGGTGTGGTTTGCCTGTGAGTGACATTACCTGTCTAATTGGAGGTGACCTTAAATTTGTGTAGGGCCCCCTTGCCACTAGGGTAAAATTGTCTGGATCGAGCCGAATTGATTTGCTATGACCTGGCTTTGAGTCAGATCAAGCCAGATCAAGCTGGATCAAAGCGAATCAATTTGGCTTGATCCGGACAATTTTACCCTATGGGAATGGGGCCTATAATTGGAGATAACCTTAAGATAAAACTTGCAAAGCTCACCTGTGCAAAGCTGCTGCAGCTCAGGTGTCATTACCTGGGTAAAACAGGTGTGGCTCACCTACATGTGAGTGACATTTTGTCGCCTGATTAGGGTGATCGTTTTTTGTGGATTGTTTGAATTCCCAACAGATTTGAAAACACAATCATTATGTTACTACTTGAAGCAAGAAGTTATGGCATTTGGGTCACTGTCTCTACTTTTAAGTTTTAAAAAGTTTGGTTGGTCTCTATGCACAACTTCTGCACAAGAAAAACTGTGAACAGATTTATGTATTAAAAAGGATTAACAAGACTGTTATCTGAGAAGACTGTACTGACTCACTCAGTTTGAAACTGCCTGATGTTTAGCTTCATGGGAGGGGGAATCCTTGGAACAATTTGCGTAACAGCAGGACCATTCAATCAATCAATAAATTAACCAATCAATCAAAATGGTTCATTAATCAAACAATTGCAAAATGGTAAATTTGGACAAATAAAACCAAGAGTCTGAGGAGAGACCCACAATATGTTTCGTGGAACTTGTTACATGAAAATGTATGAAGACTCACCGAGCTCAGGTAAGATCAGGTTAAAGATCCTGAATATCTTCAGTTTGAGATCAAGAAATTCTTCTAGACGTTGAGAAATCTGTCTGGAGTCCTCTGAGTGTTGTTTGTCTGGTGGGTGTGGAGGGTTGTTGGATGGGTTTGAGCTCCGGATAATGACAGTTTGTCGTGACACTTGCCTGCTTTTTATAGTAAACAAGGTCAAACTTGCAGAGATAATGAGTGCTTGTACTGCACTGTAAAATTCAATCTACAATGAATCTTTGACAGCAACAACAGACCTGTTTTTTTAGGGGGAGCTTTTTTATTCTTTGCATAGCAGGAAGAAGTAACCCTGAGACCATAAGAGTAAGACTTTATAGAATTACCTGAAGTTCACAGAAGCTTCTCACCTGTGGAAAAATAGTGCAGCTCAGGTGTGATTACCTGAGTTATCCAGGTGAGGCTTACCTGTGATTGACATCTTGTTTTACCTCTGAGTCAGGGGTGATTTTGTTGTTCCGTGATGTTTACCAACCAACTTGCATGAAGATATATATATATATGAAAATCTGATCAAGTAGTTGCAGTCGCTGCTTGTTATCTATACTACATTAAATTTTATGATTAAACCTTTTGGTGAAAACAGAGGTAATGTTTTTGGTTCATAACTGGTGTACACTTCCTATACATTGTATATTAGACCAGGAAGCAGCCCCTTGAGGTTGGTTGAGGCTGTGTTAGGTTGGTTGAGGTATTTACTATAATTTTAGTCATACATGTACAAGGCCTCCTTTCCTATGGTATAAAAGACAATAAAATTGATGACTATAAACTGTAAACAGATATATGATAAGTCTATTGATTATCTACTGTAGTAAATATAGGGCTTGTATAATTATGTAGGGTGCTCTCTGTTATTATATACTGCTGCTAGTCCAAAGAATCCTGGTTTATGCATGAATCCTTGATGAAAAGGTAATGTTTGGGGATGTTTGGGGGTGTTTGTGTGTATGTTTGCTTGTGTGTTGATATAGTCATTCAATGCTATGAAAAGTGGTGAGGATCAGACACAAAAATTTCCCAACAAATTTTATTCTGTCCAAGTAAATGAAGACATTGCAAAAGTCCCTTTGCCACTGCGCAATACACTACAGCTTAGTACAAGAAGGAAATTACATGCACTTTATTCAATTATAACAGATCGAAGACTTAGTTTTCATCATTGTCATATTACAGACAATATCAACACCAGGTCCTAGTTTCATTAGATGCTCCACACTAACTTTACGTGCAGAAATTAATGCATATGTGATACAGCTACCATCTTCTCACTATCACAATAGTATGCTTTTAATTATCTATTACTTAGCTAAAGCATTATTTTGAACAACTCAAATCAATTACAAGTTAGTATATCACAGATCTGATGCATATCTGGAATTGAATACTACAGCTTATTGTGGACTTATCTAGTGTCTTCAGTTGAAGTTAGTAATTTGGAATCAACAGCCTTTAGCAATCTCATTTTTTTTGTTTATCACTTATCTTAGATTCAAATTAAATTTTCTCTCACAAAAAGAACATGATGCACAATATGTCATGCACATGTGTACAAAATTCTTACAAATACGATACAGAACTTAGTTGTATATAGAAAATTACCCAGTAAACTGTATGTTTTACATTATGATGTATTAGCTATGTGTTTCACCACTCTACAAGCACTGTTATAATTTTCTTCTAAATAAGCAGTGGCACTCAGTAATACAAAATGTAGCTGTACAAAACTAAGTTAAATGTTGTCATCACTAGACATAGTACCATAACCCTGTATGCAACAAAGTAAGCTCATGATCATCTTCCTTAAAGTAATGTAGTTAACAATACAGAAGTTCATTAAATTCTTGACTAATGTTTTACTGCTTAGTAACAGAACTTTAGTACCTGCAAAGAAAATTATGGATGAGGCAACAAAATATCTAAAAAAGAAATGCATGTTAAAAAAAAAACCTACTCAAAACAGGCTGATATCAACATTACGCATCTGGTATACAGTCAATGTATCTATGTCTCTTTTGTACACTTCTGTTCTCAATTGGCTTACAACTATACCTGGCAATGGATTAGCTGTTCTGAAGAGAACCTGCATTTATTTTATTTTCAGAATTCTTATTTCTTTGAATATACTTTCCTTAGATATTTAAGGACTTTTCTTGACAGACTAGAGTTTACTGTGATGCCTAAAATAACAATAATTGAATCCGGGCTTCAGTTTTTTTTGTTCTTGGTATATGTAAGGGCAATCCAATTTGATTTGTTGGTTCTCAGATTTCTGCAGGAAATCAATGCCATGAGTGGGTAAGAAACAGGCCAGGGCTTCTTACGATAGATCAAAATACTTGGTGCCAAAATATGGTGTTGGTGCCAAAATATGATCGGTTTAGGGCCGATTCAGTACCAGAATGGTACTTTTTTTCTTCATTTTTTTCAAGTCTGAAGAAACTTAAAACTTGCAAATTCGAAAACCAAGAAATTAAATTGGTAAGGCTTTAAAGTACCCTTCTACCGGATGTCTCAGGCCTTTGTGCTTACATCAGCAGATTTTTGAGCGTTGCTGCAGTTCAGACAACAGCAATAAGGGGGAGTATGTAGTACATGTAGATGCTAAAGCTATCAGCACTGCTTTATGCTTACATCAGCATATTTTTGAGCATGGCTGCAACTGACAACAGAAGTAAGGGAGTGTAGTAGGCGCTAACGCTAGCTGCGCTGCACATAACAGTCCCACCCTGTAGGGTTAGTGGGGAGGTGGACCCACCAGAGGTGCATTGGATCTGACTGATGATGTCTGCAGAACAAGAACTCAGATCATCGGGAAACACCCCCGAACAGTCGCAACCCCAGGGATTATCGCTAAGGTCTACCGTACCGGGGATAGAGGACAAGTCATTACAGACAGATGCAGACAGGAGGGCACTAGCTCTGAGCTGGTTGGACGAAAGGTCCAACTGTTGGAGCAGGGTGACGTTACCGAATGCGCCAGCGTCAATGGCGGTTATGTTGTTGGAGGACAGGTCTACCTGCACGAGCCCACTGGGGAATGCGTTGGGCTGGATTCGTGCAATCTGGTTGGAGGACAAGTCTAAGCTTTGGAGCTTGGGCACGTTATCGATCGCGCTAGGCTGGACGCGGTCTATCTTGTTGTAGGATAGGGAGAGGTTACGGAGTTCGGGTAGATTTTGGAAGGTACCGGGCTGGAGGCTTGTTATGTTGTTGTTTGCGAGGGACAGCTCTTGGAGCAAGGGTAGCTCTGAAAATGCGGCAGGCTGGATGCTGTTAATGCGGTTGTTGGAAATGGTCACCTTTTGGAGCTGGGGGTGGTCGCTAGGTGTAAAGGCACGAGGTTGGATTCGATCTATCTGGTTGGAGGTTAAAGTTAGCTCCTGTAGTTGGGCCAGGGCGGGGAAGGAACCGAAGTTCCCGATATTGCTGTTCAGCAAGTTCAGGACAGTGGTGTTTGCGGGTACACTGATGTCCTGGGGGACCCTGCTGATGCCAGTACAGTTACAGGTTGTATCTGTGCAGTCACAGGCGGCTTCAGTCTGCCCAGACGCCAGGACCAGCAACACCAGAACTCCGCTCAGATGGGCCCACATTTTGTCTGGAACAGAGACAGGACAGGGTTAAAAACTGACGTACTAATCATGAGAATATCAACTAATGTGACAGTCATATTCTACTTCTAGAACTAGTAAGAGGTATGTCAATTTGTTTACTGAAACATTCATTGTGAAAATGTTGGTTATGTGCATTACTTCAGAAAACTAAAAAAATGACCAATAGTAACACTAAATATCATGTTAGGGGTAAATATAATGATTAATAATATTAGTTCGGTTATAATTCAATTTGGCCATGTAGACCAAGAAAGCATTTCAAAGTAAAATGAAGGCACTGACTTCACTTGACTTGAGTTCAATAATTTATTTACACATCAGTTTTGCAGATACGAACTAGCCTGTCATGTATGGTGTTAATATTCACAAATTGTAATGACAGAAAATCAATTCAAAAACACACCTGCAAATATTGTATACAACACCATGAAATGGTAGTTCACTTTATACTCGGTTCTACATGTATGTCTGATTGTCCAGTTTAGTGGATTGATGAAGGAATAAAAACTGTGAGGTTGCAGGGATTTGAACCAACCTTGTCTAGATTCAGCAGATTGCACACGTAACTTGGTGATCCAATGGTAGGTACTGATGCCTGAAAAATACAGACATGGAAATTATTAGTCAATGGTCACACTGTGCTGCTTATTGCAAAACGGTTAACATGATTGATGGTAATGATTGATGTGCAGTGCCCGGAAATTTTTAATGTAAATGTTAAGATTTTGTACTGCGTAACATTTTAATTACATAAGATGCTTGTGCTAAATATACCATATCTTGTCTAGCTTCCCCTGTTTCTACATATGTATATTGACTGGTTAGTTTGTATATTGTCTTCATGCATGGGAAAGGGAAATCTTTGGAACTCATTTGCGAGTAACCTAGTACATGTATGTAACAACTGACACTCAAGAGAAGAGTAACATATATTTAGCAAGAATGCTGTTTTAAGATCAGCCCCCTCCCTGCATGTCTGATTTTGGCGCCATTTTGAAATGACAAATAAACAGTTAAGCTAAAGGCTATTGTTCCACCATCCTGTCTCAATACTTCTAACTAAAGATAAAATCATATTGTACAAAACGTGTAAACTAGAAAAACTCACCTCAGGTTAGGTGGCTGAAGATCTTGAATCTTCAGTCAGACTCAGAGAGCTTCTTGTAGACACAGAGAAATTCCTGTTTTCTCAGCACTGTTCTTGGCGCCTGGTGAGTCGTTGGACAGGTTTGGGGGTTATGACGTCTTGTCTGGCTGTAAATAGGACACAACCACGTGGTTATAATGAGGTGACAGGAGCTCTGACAACAAGAGCAGGTCTTTTGTAAGGGACTTGTAAAAATCTAACAGGTAGTCTATACCTGTGGAAAATCAGTGCAGCACAGGTGTTGTTACCTGCCGGGTAAAACAGGTCACCAGGTGTAGTTATACCTGAAGAAACCAGGTGTTGCTTAATTACATTGCTGAAGGTCAGGCCAAGGATATTCTGGTATTTAAGTTATTTTTTTTATCATGAGACCTTTCAGCCATGCTGAGCTTATCTTCCAAGGCTCAAACACGTTTAAAATGACATAATTACATTAGCACAGAAAAAGTACTGCAAAAGTACATTTAAAAACGACAATAAACCCACAAATGAACATTAACAATGGGTAGGCATCCAGGTAATGAGATAGACAGTCAAGCAACAGGATTGTAAGATTAAAATTTACGAAGTGTGAAATGTTTAGCATCATCCATTACTAGTACTTTTCCCCAGTGAACAACAGAATCTGAAGTGAACAGCCAGGTTTTTGTCCAAAGACTATGAATTGATTATGTAAAGGAGGTGAAGACAAATTTAAAACATACAATAGGAAACAAAATATAAGACAAGGTTAAGACAAGGTGTGCACCATTGGAAGCAAAAGACAAAGCTAAGACTACTGGTCTTCACCATAGGAAGCAAAATATAAGACAAGACAAGACACGGCTAAGATTACATCTTCACCATGCATAGGAAACAAAATAAGACAAACTTAAGACAATATCTTCTCCATAGGAAACAAAAATAAGACAAGACAAGGTCATAGCCTTTTGTTTTGCATAGCTACATGTAAATGGGTTATCTGTACAAAGCCAGTGCAGTACAGGTGTACATATTGTAATCAGTCCTATAAGCTGGGTCACAGAGGCTTATCTGTAATACTAACAGACATCTACTTGCTCATAGGCTACATCACTTACTATAAATGCAGGTCCAAACAAGGTCAATTTCTCTCTAAAATTGAGCCGTAATCTATGCCTTACTCAGATGCAACAACAGATATCGCTACTCAGACATGTCAGATCTACAACAACAGGCTAGAGGTACAAAGTAGATCACAATTTAGTGTACAAAATATATAGCTATAAATAGATCAAGTCATAGATTCAAATACAGGACGAATACAACCTAATATGTGGAACTAATATGTGCTACAAATCAAACATTAAATCATACATCAAATCTACACTCTACAGAGCAGTAACTACATGTAACACATACCTGTACCTGGACTCCAGAGGCCTTGACTGAGTTCTAAGACAACTGACTCTTCTTATCTCTACTCTGAGAACAATAGCTACTCTCTGATTGGCTACTCCCACTAGCCAATCATGACCTGCCTTATCCAGCTAATTTATGTGTTAGCCCCTCCTCCCATATTCTATCGACCAATTAGACTAATTACGTACATGTACAAGACAGGACCATGTCCCTTACACAATGTTCTAATCAAGTTACTGCTGTTGGCTTCTGCATGCCTTTTGAAGTCAGGCCCACCAGAACTTCATCTAACATTGCGAAAACTTTAGGATGGATTTGTTAGGAAATTAATCATGTAAGTTTGCTATATCTTGTCTGACCCTGACTTCTTTTCATGGGATGCTTAGACTAATGCTGAGTTCAGAGTTTTCTAAATGAATAAAGTCCCAAACAAAGAACAATGATAACAGAAAGGACGACTTATTAATAACCCAGAAATTTTGGTTTTAGATCATAACCAGCTCTCTGTCTCATAGTCTGTAACTGTTTTTGCCGCCATTTTGAAATGATGAATAAATCAATCAGTTCAACTGCAGCTTCTTTGTTTCACCTTCCTGACTTAACACTGGATAGAAAACACAGTAACTGCTGTGTAGAATATGGTATGATATGTAGAAAAACTCACCACAGTTTGTAAGGTTGGAGATTTTAAATCCTCAGCGAGACAAGTTTTTGAGAAATGCCAGTTTTACCCTGACCGTGTAAGAATGCTCCTGAAAGGTGGGGAAAGGAGTTGGACAGGTTTGATGGTGATGACGTTATCTTGGCCAATAGGGTGGGTTGGACAGAAAGTGCAACATGGAACGAAATGAAGCGAAATGGAATGTATAATTCATTTACCACCCACTTCTTTGTCTAGTTTTTTACTCAGAACATATATTTGCCCCCAACTTCAGTCCGTTTATCCAAGTCAGTCCTAAACCTAGTTGTTTCCCTACAGGTATTTTGTGCTGCTAGTATTCGCTATCTACTTTTTATGGGTTCACCACACCACGAAGTGGTGGTGAACCCATATTGCTTTTTCTGATGTTTCTTCTTCTTCTTCTTCTCCTCCTTCTCCTCCTGCCATATCTTTAAATGGATTCAGCGTCTTCATTTTAGGGCCTAAGGTCCTGAAATTTGGTATGGAGGTACAGTGGGCAAATACCCCTAGGCGTTTTTTAAATTTTTGTGATACAGGCTTTTAGAATGGTTTTATTTGAGTTTTTTGGCTGTGTTATAGCAAATGTATTACTGTGTTAGTGTGCGTGTTTACCACGTCTGGGCATGAGTCATCACAATGGAATGCAGGGCATCAACCAATAGGCATGCAGCTTTCCTCTATACTTCTTGCTGATTGGCTGTTGGGATTTAACTTGATTAACACCCGTACAGAGCATTTCCACCTGCACAGAGCATTTCTTGCTGATTGGCTGTTGGGATTTAACTTGATTAACACCTGCACAGAGCATTTCCATACTGACAGTATGTCTTTATTCAAGTGTTTTGGTAGGTATTTCAAGCTTTTCTGCTCCAGCATTGGAATGCGGGGCATGAACGTTTTTTATTTTATTTTGAAAATCAACAGTTTGCATTATGCAATTAAAAATCCTAACCAATAAAGTAGGGAATAGCTATCCAACTGTTGTTTTAGTTGTTACTTCATATTATAGTTATATCAATGTAAATCATTGTTTTCCCTTGCGTTTCTCATTCTTTCCCTGCCATGTGGTAAAATGTGGTGAACCCATCGCTGTATTTGCTCCAAAGCAAATATTGGCCTTTCTAGTTTATTCATGTTTCGTCCCATTTCGTTCTATTTGACTGCGTTTCTCACTTCCTGTGCACCAGTAGTGACACCTGTGCCTGAGTAAACAACAATGATGTCATGTCTGACAGGGAGTGGGGGTGAGTGACCTCAGGCTGAAATGGGGCAATGCCAACAAAAGCACACCTTAGTCACACCTAGGCAAAATCTCTGCAGCTAGCTCAGGTGTAGTTACCTGGGTAAAACAGGTGAGGTCACCAGTGGTCACCAGGTGTAGTTACCTGGGGAAACCAGGTATGGCTTATATTAATTTACCTGTGCAAAGCCAGTGCAGCCCAGGTATAGTTAGGGTACAACAGGGGAGGTCTGTCTCTAGGGGGTTATTATCTGTACATACATGTAGGTCAGACTTGTTCTGTGGTTAACATCTTTTGGGATGACTTTTGCTCCTTTTCAACAAATTGGCATGATTGCTATGGCCAAGAGGATTGTTGTTATTGACTCATGTTTTATGAGCTGAGGCCCAGAGGCCACGATGATTTAGTTAACTGGTTCTTGGATTTTCCCGCTTCATTTTTTCCTGAAAAAAAAAATCAGGTTCTGAATGAGCTCTCAAAAGGTCATATTTTGTCCCTGAAAATTGACAACAGTCCTTGTCTTCCTAATTGTTACAATTTTTCCATGTATGTAGTCATTTGATTTGAAGTTAAAAATCCATTCTCTGAAATTAAAAACCAGCCTGGTATGTTTCCATGACTCCTACCATAGCATTTGCATGGGATGCCTTAACCTTTTTTTTTCAACCTGTCACTTCCCATTTAGCCATGAATAAACTGGAGAACCAACAATAATTAAATTGGTGTGTCCAAAATAGTAAAAACGTGAAAGCCTGAGCACTTAATCCTGCGTGAGACTCAGAAATTAGCTGCTCTAATCCATTTTTCAGGCCAGCTTCTTTAGAAAACATTTGAATGGCCTTTATTGAAGCTGATTTATTGTGAAGGGATCCTGGATACCAGACCCAAATATGGCCTGGAGGCAGGGAGGGAAACATAATATGATTATGTCCTGGTCCCAAACGGCACCCGACTCGAGTTAGCTCAAGTGCGGGGGATAATTTCAAGTTAGAAATAACTGGAGGCGGGCCTGTGCCAAGTCTTGGAGCTCTGACACACTATTAGCTGATGTCAGTGCCACCAAACTGTTACCCTATACCCAAGTTATCCAGTGTGCAACTTGGAAGAGATAATTTTAAGTTTACTTTGAGATAACCAGAAGTATACCTAGGCCCAGTGCCAAGGAGCACAAGCATGCCCCCTTAACCCACAGGATCAGTAACCATGGCTGTGTCCAGTGTCTGGCATCCAGGCTGGGTCTACAGTCAGGCTGTGTTACAACTTACATGTCTTGTATATCTCAGCACAGTTTTATGTGAAAAACACAGACAACTGACGTCCACAGTGAACTTTTATTTTAGGACTGCAGACACTTGTCTAGTCTGCTCTATACAAATCCTTCGCAACAATGTCCTGTAAATTACATTAATGAGCTTAACGAAGTTCTATTTGTAAATAATTGATTGGGCCTTATCAAGTGTCCTTGGGAGATGACTAAGGTCACTCTCCAAGCAGAGGTTGGACTTGTTTTGGATGTTTTTTTTAGTTGTTTTCAAGTAACCAGGGAAACAAATTGATAATTACTATTTCCACCTGGTTACTTTCAATCTACTTTAGAAGGACATTCTCTGAGAGCCAAATGTTGAGCCAGGATTTCGTTTCATCCTTGGTTTAAACAGAATACTGTACTTGAGTACCTGGTCTAATGCATCCACCTCCGCAACAAGAAATTTGAGCCGCACTGTGCAGCCGCGATTATTCGAGTTTAACACAAGAAAAAACAACGGCTGCACTGTTGAAAGGGTACATGTATACGGTGTGCCACAAGAAGGAACTACATTTGTACATGTTGTCTTCGGAAGAAGCTTGGCTGCATTTTTATCGATATCATTACGAAGGCCAGACAAAAGCCTAAAAACAACTACCTAAGACAAGCCTCCGCTTGTAGGGTAAAGAAATTGGATCGGGTGGCATCCATGTCCAGGCTACTGCCATTTCCTTAGTGTAAGCCACCATGCATGTACAACACATGTACCCCCGGTATCACTTAAAAAGCACAACGTTTTGAATGACAAAATTACTTACCGGTAGTCAATCATAGATCTGAGAGATACAAACTTAAGGTACATGTAGTACAGTGAAAACAGACTCACTTTGTAGCAGGAAGCAGGAAATTCTGCAGTGCAGGTGTTTTCGTGTCTCGTTAAAAATGAATGGGCGTAGTCAAAAACAGGAAGTCTATATTATTATTGAATCATTGATGTCATCATTTCTGGTTTAACCAATCACTGTGCCTCTTACAAAAGGGCCTGGGTTAGCTTGCTATCACACCCAATCAGCACCTGGCTTACTCGAGGTGTTTTGGCGGGTTGGAATGCTAAGATTGTTGTTAAGTGGCCCTCGGGCGTTAACAGCTCCTGTTGCATTTAGGTTAGCAGGGCTCGAAAGTCACTTCTGGAAATAGGTGGACTCACCTGGTGCACTTAACCTACAAAATTGGGCGCACAAAAATTTTTGGGTGCACCATATAGAATTATAGAATAACTAGAATGTCAGCAATAACTTTAATTATGTTTCATTTGTAAATTCTAAAGAAAAGTACTAATAACAATGGTTTTATTATTTTTCTGACACTAAGATGTTGAGAATATGCTTTTTTTTTTTAAATCTTTGCATTATGTAAACCTGCAAAAATATTTGGGTGCACCCACAGAAAAAAACTTGGTGCACAGCTCCAAATTTGGGTGCAGTAAGGTGCACATGTACCCAGTATTTCCAGCCCTGGTTATATGGGGTGATGCTGCTATGTGAGTCAGACTACTTTTTTGTGTGAAAAACACAGGAAGACTGTCCACAATAAGCTCTGTAAACACCTGTTTTGTTTGGTATTTAGATTACAGGCCAGAACAATGCCTCCTGAATCAGACTATTGAGCTTTTGTCTTAGTCATAGTCTTATCTCCGGCTAAGCACAAAGAGGATAAATGAGTGAGTCATTAATGAGCTTATGATTAACCCTAATGAGCTTAACGAGGGTTTTACTGTTGTTGTGTAAATAATTGAGTGACCTTATTCAGCGTCCTTGGGAGATAATTATGGGTAGGGTTACTCTCCAAGCAGAGGTGTGGGGCCTGGTTTGGATGTTTTTTTAGGCTTCTTTGGGGAAATCTGTCAGGCTTTCTATTTTCTCAGCTTGTCTTTGGGTGATACTATATGAATGTTATATGGATGGTATATTTCAGTTGGCACCTCGCAGCCATTTGGCTGAATTATGTACAGCTTACAAAATGTCTCTAACTGAACCACATCAAAATTAAAAGTGTTACACGGGTTACGAGTGTTGTCATCTAGTTTTGCGATGAATCCATATGATCATTTTCCATGCACTAGTAGGTAGATCCAGGTGTTTACAGCAAAAGATTAGAGGTTATATAATATATGGTACTGATATTTGAGTCTGCTAGCAATTAGGTTAGGCCAGTCGTCACACGGGAAAGATGACAAAATATTGAAAGCTGGACAAATTTAGCCTAAAAACATTAAACAAGCCAAACTTACTGCTTGGGGGGGGATGTTAAGGTAGGGTTCAGATGAAATGGCACCTGCAAGTGTACAGCAGCCATACTTAACTCATTACAGGAAAAAGAGCATTATATAATTAGAGCTTTTACGTAACAAAAGATACAATCTATACTATAGTATAAAGGCTGAAAACAAAGTTTAACTTACTTTGTTCCAGGGAGCAGAAAAATCTGCTGTAGCCACAATGTGTGTTGTTTCCCCAGGATTTGAAAATGAATGGGCGTTGACCAAAACAGGAACTGGTATATATTGAATCATGAGCGTGTCTCTGGTTTAACCAATCACTGTGCCTCTTACAAAAGGGCTTGGGTTAGCTCGCTGTGACATCCAATCAGCACCAGGTTTACTGAAGGTCTGTGGGTAGGTTGGAATGTTAAGACTGTTGCAAAATAACCCTGAGGCGCAACAGTTCCTGTTGCAATGTTGTTATGTGGCGACGTCATGTTTCAGCTAGTATATACTGTAATTCACTTTATGTTCACGGTAGCAAAAGGTCACGGTCTGAGAAAAATGGACAATCATGGAACTATATATCAAAGGTGGCAACAGGTGCAGGAAAAAGAAAGTCCAGGAATTATATTTACAGTAAGGATAACTTCACGGTACAGAAGTGACAGTGAAAACAGTGAACATAAAAGTGCTGTGAAAAAAAATCAGGAATTACAGTATACTCAGACATACAAGCCTATGGGCAAGTAGAGGAAAACAACATAACACTAACAGGTGTATAAAATTTAATGTGTGCATTCATTTTTTAATTTTATGGAAAAACTGAAAATAGGGTAATAATAATATTCTGACTACAGAAAGAATTGGAAAGGCGTAATTGTCAAATTTGTAGAAAATGTGAAATATAGTATGGACAATCCAGAACTACGCAATTATCTGAAAACTGGAGCGTAATGATTTTAGACTGAGAGAAAGGGGGTTAGACAGACAATAGGACACATTACTGAGTGTCCTTGGTTGCACACTTTAAGGGACAGTGTACAAATAAGACAAGGACATATTTTATTATATTTATTATTAAGTAACATGTATAAGGTGCTGGAAAATACCATAGTCTCTACCAAACTAACTATACTGGCTAATATTTGCCAGGGGAGTTTGGCTGCCTTGGGAGAAAACCAACCTTCCGCGGACTGACTGAACTGCGGCCATGTTTGGTCGAGGGTAGGTCATAGGTCAGGTGGAGCCTGGGGTTGATGGTCGCTAACATGCTGATGCAGATGTTGAAAAATGATTAATAATTAATAATATATTATCACACACATCTACATCTTAACTGGTCCGCGGAAGCATAATAGCAGCATTACTAACCTGAGTTTGCAGGACAGGCGCACCACACATATCAGCCATCCTTATTAAATGGTGAAGGCCTTGATATGAACTTGTAAAGTTCTTCCCAAGACAATCATCACTGTGCATGACTTTTTTTTTTAAACATGAATCTGATGACATATGTTTTAAACTGGGTTTGGGGTCAGTTATTGGTGTTTCAGGAATAATCTCTGACTGGACAACAGCTGGTGGTTGGGGCAGTCATTTGCCAGTAAGTTAATTTCTAACTTGTCTGTATCATAAATCATATCTAACTTGAGAAATGTTTATTTGTGCAGAACTGTCCCGTCGGTTGTGATCAGCATGGCGGAACGTAGCGAGGGTTCGGAGCCGCCGACCTCCTCGGAGAACACGGCCGCCGACATTTCCCCGCTCAGCGACTCCGCGACCTCTGGGGAGGAGTTCGTCATGTGTCCCCGGCCTGAAGGTCAAGGGGCAACCACCAAGTATGTACTTTCTATGTATATATTAGTGATTAAAGTATGATATTTCAAATTTGTAATTAAGTACACAAACATGTGATAGAAAATATTTTGAAGTCAATAAATTGTAATTTTTTTTCATCTGACCAGTTCTTCTCTGATTCACAGGAGGGTAAATTTGAAGTTGAAGGTCATTTGACATGTATTTAACGGGACCTGAAATTGAAGGTCGTTTGACATGTATTTAGCGTGACCTTGAAGCTGAAGGTCGTTTGACATGTATTTAGGGTGACCTTGAAGTTGAAGGTCGTTTGACATGTATGGTGCCTTTTTAGCCCCGAGACGGAGGCAGCGGCTGAGGAAGGGTACAAGAGGACGGGCAGGAGAAGGTGAAACGCCTGTTTCTTGTCACTAAACGCTGCAGAAAACTAATGAAAATTCAAACCTCTGATCACAGCACATGAAGCCTGGAGTAATGACGCTTGCTGCTGAACCAAAGACAAAAAAATCTTTCCCTGATTATTGACACTGTTTATAATGTTTAATATCTGTCTATAATGTTCTTAATGTGTCTGTTCAAAGCTAATTTCATGAACTGCTTTTATGAAAATGATATACTCATTAATACTGTGATAAGTTTAGATTTGATTTTTTTAATCTTCAGCTTACATTTTACCATTGTTCTGCTACTAGAATACTGACCTTTATGTATCTGTGGTTGTAGACAAATGAGTTAAACTTTGTGCTGAATTGCATGTTTCTGTAGACAGATGAGTTTGCCGGCGGCGATCTCATTCCGACGTTCGATGGACAGTATCCAATTCCCCGACATCACCATATTTAGAAACTGGCCTGTTGGTAGTAGTAAAAGAAGGTGAAATTATAGAATTGGGATTCTCTTTGCACAAAGCTGGTCCAAACTTGTATAAGGACCATCTGGCCAGTTTTGTGCGTTGAGGTCCCAAAGTTTGGAGTTTTTTTTGCAGTTTTTGTTTCTAACAAAGTGTGGAGACTTTACTAAAACATTCAGAGCTGTTTTCAGACATAACTTTCCTCCTGATGGCTGAAGTGACACCTGACCACCCCTCTGTTTGAAGTGAACCTGTCCATTTCTGTGGTGTCTGAAGTTCTAACATGGGCTGTTACATAGAACTAATGGGGGGTTATAAAACTAACGTAGATTTACATGTCTTAAAAGATTGAAATTGACACTTTTTTTTTCACTAAAAGGAGATTTTACTAACCAAAGTAAAGAGGGTCAACCTTTGACCTATAGCCCATCAATAGATTAATCAATCTATCAATAACCTTTACTG